TCTGGAGTCAGAACAGGTTGAGAGCTGCAGTTCTCTAAGAAACCCACACTCATGGAGCTTATCTTTATTTTATCTGACTCAAAGCACACCCAGTACAATGAACCTTTTCCCTTCTCAATTGTTTAATGTCACAGTTGCTTGAGGCTATTAAATGTTTGATAATTCCAAAACCTAGTCATTCCATAACTCAGAATATACCAGAGAAACTCTTGTACTTGGGTTCCCTGAGATACAGGTAAGATTCTACAGCCTCATCCATAGCAAAAGGCCAGAAATAATCCAAATGACCATTGATACAGTAGAATGAGACATTGTAATATACTCATATAATACTTTATAGCATTATTAAGCATCAACAGAAATGACACAAGTGTGCTTGATATTATTAAATATTACAAAAACAAAACATATGAAAAAAGTTTTGAAGAGGGAATCATTGCATACTTAAGTACCAAAATGTATGATGTAAAAAGTACATGACAGGGGCCAGGGATTTAGCTCAGCGGTTCGGTGGCCTGCCTCGCAAGCGCAAGGACCCACGTTTGATTCCCGGTATCAGAAAAAAAAAAAAAAAGTACATCACAGAAGTCAAAGACCAGTAAGGATACACTTGCTTAGAACTAGACGGGTGGTTAGGATTTGTATATGGGAGCAAAAGTACAGCATTTAAGGAAAAAGATGGCAGGAACAAATATGCAAAGAGGGATCTTGGTCAGACAAGAGAGAGTCAGTAAAAATGTGTCAGATCATTGATTTCATGATCCTTATAGCTCCATTCATTGATCATCGCTTATGCTTCCGTGATTTATTTATACATACATATCATGTGTCATCTCTAGCAGTTGATAGCCACATTTCACAAATGAGGAAACTGCATCACCATGATTAAGTAACTTTCACAATGTTATATGGTCAGATAGGTAACAGTACTGGAATACAAATTCAATATGAATAGCTTGTTTGGTGTTTTTAATTGACCCATTTATAATTATGAGGTGTTTCCCTATCCCTGTGGTTCTCCAATGGTAACATGAAAGACTCATGTGGAGAGCTTGATAAAACATTATGCTTCAGCCCCTAGAATTGATTCATTAGGTCTGGGGAAGAGCTGAGATTTGCATTTCTGCTAATTTTCTGACAAGAGTAGATATTACTACTCTTGGAATGAGGGGACCATTCTTAAATAAACTGTCTGCCATATCAATCATAGTATTTCTTGCTCTGTGGTCTAATTTGACTGCTTCAAATACCCACCTCACCATTTTTGTGATTAGTGTTCCCATGGTATATCATTATCTATCCTTTTACTTTTAACCTATCAATATCTTTACATTTGAAACAAATTTCTTTTTATTTGTCATGCAGGGGATTACAGGTCTGGCATATGCTAGAAAAATGCTCTACCACTGAGCTAGATCCCTGTTTTAGTTTCGATATGGAATGTCCCCCCAAGGTCTCATGTGTTCAGAATCAGGGCTTTTAGAAGGCAATTGGATCATGGTGACACTATATTTATCGGCGGACTGATCCATTGATGAATTCCTAACTAAATGTGCTTCTAGGAGCTGGAACCTGATTGAAGGACCTGTGTTATTGGGGGTGTGCTTTGGAGAGTGTACCTCCTTCCCTGGCTCTTCTCTTCTCTCTTTGCTTCCGGGTTGCTATGGGGTAAGCAGCTTTCCTTCATCATGCCTTCCTCCATGCTAGTAAGCCTTGGAGCCAACCAGTTGTGGACTAAACTATGAGCCAAAATAAACCTCTCCTCCTTTAATTAATCAGTGTCAAATATCTTGTCCCAGGGATGGGAAAGTGACTAATACAACTTCCAGCCCTCGTAGTCAATTTCTATGGATCGGAAATAGTTTTAGTTCGACAATCTCTTTTGGTCAGTTGGAGTGTTTAGACAATTTATAACAAAATTGATGACATGAATGGAGTTAGTTCTACCCTGTCGTCTTGCTTTTTGTTTTCTACTTGTCCCAGCTGTTCCTTCTTCCTCTTCTCATTTCTGCTTTTGGATGACTAGAGTAACTTTCAGTACTCTATTGATGTTACTGACATATTAGCTACACCTTCTATTTTTAATGGATGTTTTAAAAATTATCTCATCAATTTTGCTTTAAAATAGTATTATATAACATGATATATAAGAACCTTACACTTTCATTTTTTCTCAAATGTTTGGTTGTGGTTTTCATGTTTTACTTGGATATATGCTATCCAATCCATAACTCATTTTTATTTCTTTGCTTCAGATATTTAACTATTTTTACAATAATTTAAGATAAAAAAAACACAATCTTGCCAGGGATTTAGCTTAGTGGCTCTGCCCCCTGCCTCACAAGGGCAAGGACCTGAATTCAATCCCTGGTACCAAAAATAAAAAACAAAAAACAAAAAACAAAAAAAAACAACCAACAAAAAAAACAAACAAACACAATCTTGTCTGACATGGTGGAGCACACCTGTAATGCCAGCATTCTGGGAGGCTGATACAGGAGGATTGCAAGTTAGAGCACAGTTTAAGCAGCTTAAAGCTTAGGGAGAACCTGTCTGTTTGTCTGAATGAATGAATAAGCGAATGAATTGTAAGGACTAAGAATGCAGCTCAGTATGAAGGCCCTGAGTTAAATTTCCATACTCCACAAAACAAAACAAACAGAAAACAGTCTAATAAATACGATGTTTTTCATTTCTTAGTGTGGTCATAAACTAACACTTTTCTTACCACTTTCTATTTGAAGAAACTTCTTCAACCTTTCCTTTAGTTTTGTTTTCTGACATAACTCCTTCAGTTATGTCTCCTCTAAAAAAAAAGTGTATCATTTTAAATTTTTAAGTTATTTTCACAAGACATAGAATTCTAGAGTGATGTTTTATTTCACCATATTAATTACATCACAGTGTTATCTTTGATTGTATTATTTTTGAGAATTCTTCAGTCAAGTACAAAGGTAAGGAATAGGAGGGATGAAATTACTGAACAAACACTATCTACAGTGAAACTCTCTCCAAAATTGTGAAACCAGGGGGAAGCAAGGAGAGTGGTGGGGGAGGGAATAATTAAAATATGTCATGTGCATGTATTAATCTGCCAAAATGAAACACATTAATCCTATATAACAAATATGTGGGGGGGAATTCTTTAGTCAATATATATATATATA